TATGAAAATCTTATTCAGACAATATTTTTGTGGGGCTTTTTTACTGAAAAATTTTCTCAGAGGCACTTCATTTAAAAACAGAATTACGTTTCATTATTCCGCTTGCCCATTCAAATATGATGTCCACGCTTAGATATTTGCTATATTCAGCTATATCTGAGTGAAAATACTGCAATCATTCAAAATATAAGGAAAAGTCAAATACACCCACACTCACCAAATGATAAGTGCTAGCGAAGCTGTGCTGTGGATGCACAAAATCGTTTCGCCATTCCCAAAGAGTTTTCTGCATTTTTCGTTTAACAATAGTTTAAGTCCATTCATTGTAGCAGATTGCTCTGCAAATTTAAGTTTTTTTCTCGTCATTTGTCAAAGCTCATTAGTTTTCAAACATGATTCAAAGCTCAAATCATCCGAATGCAAAACTATAAGTCACAGTGATATTTGTTTGTGTATGTGTGGGTTTGTGTGAAAAATGTACGGTCAAAATGATTTCAGTACAAAAGATACTGTTGCAATGCATTTTAATAAAGTAATCTTAAACGTGTAAAAATCGAAAAGTAATCAAAGAAAAATTTTTTTTGTCTAGATTACTTTCGATTTTTGTACGTGGATAACTTTTCGATTACTTCTCTATTATTTTCTCGACTACAAATTACTTTAGAGGAATTACCCCCTCGATTTTGTCACAGTTCCACGCCTAAAATGTTCAAAATTGAGGGAAATATTCGTCAATAGTTGAACCGAATGATCGGTTAAATCATTCCGTAACATATTTTGTGTATATACGATTTATCATCCAAACAAAATTGTATATAACAAACAGTATTTAGTGGACCTGAACAAGAATAGTGTTCATACTGTATATTTTCAACACACTCACACACACAACTCTCCAAAATTTCACCATACCAAGTTAATGCTCATTCAGTCATAAAATTGTGCCAACTCAAGCGAAAGTTCATTGAGGGAAAAACCGCTGAAATATGCAAATCATATCAGAAACTTGTCGTTCCAACATAAATGTTAGTTTTTGATGATGATACGCAATCATCGTGTATATGTGTTGAAACAGAAAGAGTGGAAAAGTTTTGCTTTGAAATCAAAAGTTGAATCGAAGTGAAAGAGTGAAAGAGTCACTTGTGTTTTTCTCGCAATTGGTTGAAACTCGTTCCATTCCGCAATAAACAGAATTTCAGTGTTTTGCTTTGGAGATAGGTTGAGTTGAAGTGAATTTTCCAAATATTTTTTCGTTTTCAGTTCGGTCGTGATTTAACCCATGCATATTTTATATGGCTGACAACCTTAAGCCGATGGGATAATAATCTTAAGTGTTACTGAAAAGCATTTAAGTCCTCACTTGATTCGCAATATTTTTTTACAACATCACATTTACACAAGATTTTGTACTGGCATACATCCGTAGACGAATTTCGTACGAAGGTACATGCGCGCCCATATACACACTCAAGCATTTCAAAGTAAGAAAGAGACAGAGAGAGCCATTGAAATGAATCATTCGATCGTATGACTTTGGATATGAAAGCTTGACTTATTTTTCGTGAGAAAAGAAAGGTCCAAAGAATAAAAATGTTTTCTTATTCAATTACAGGCGGACCGAAGAGAGTACGAAATGCGTACGGAAACTGTGCATCTAATTCTACGAAAAAAATTATTAGCAAAAGCAAAAGGAAAAATAATACACATAAACGTGAATTTTGGGGCCGATTTGGAATGAAAAATGTATGAAAATCTTCTACGAAGAACGTGCCAGTCACAATTTGGTTGCGGCTATTCTGACAGAGGCACGTATGCACTCGAAAAAAGAGTTTAAAATCCAAATTTTTCCGTCATTGAAAATCACAGTTAGCACTCTTATGCTTTTTTGTCTCCCGCGTTCGATAAATTACGACTCATTCCTTCGTTTTGTGTGTGTATGTTTGCTTTTTTTGCGAAAAAGCTATATTACATCACAAATTCGTCCACCGTCGTTCGTTTCGTTCAGTGAAACGTGAGCGAGACTTTTTTTTCTGATTTGTTGCTAATATTTCCTTATATTCTTTACCACGAAAAATTACAATAATATTTATAATAGACCGAGAGCCCACGTGGAAAATACTATATTGATAAGTCTCATGTCAGATAATGTAATCGTATGTAGATATTAATGCCAATATTCAGAATATTTTTAATTTTCTTCTTTATCTTTTGCACTTTACGATATCTTGCTGCCGATATCGATAAAAATATATGCTTCACTTTTCTTACAATTTGCATGTCAGATATATTTTGTACAGCTAAATTGCCACGAAATTAATTCAAATTCAAAATATCAGCTCAAAATATTTTGCACAATACTTTTTATTCCATTCTGAAATATCACTCTATGTCGTTTTTCCCCACTTTGACATTTTGACATGAAATGACATAACCTCACTTCATCGAAATGAGTGAGGCAATTTAGCTGTACAAAAAATATCTGACATGCAAATTGTAAGAAAAGTGAAGCATATATTTTTATTGATATCGGCAGCTAGATATCGTAAATTGAAAGAGATAAAGAAGAAAATGAAAAATATTCTGAATATTGGCATTAATATCTACCTACAATCACATTATCTGACGTGAGACTTATCAATATAGTATTTTCTACGTGGGCTCTCGGTTTATAACAACATTTGTCTCGATTTCTTCCTTTAAAAAGCCGCTTAAGTCAAATAGTAAGTAGGTAATATGTGCGACGTTCACACCATACACCAGAATAGCTCTGGTCTGCGATTGAAAGTTGACAGACACATTTGCATCCGTCCAATTAAGCATATGTAAGATTCTGTATGGTTTTCATTTTATTGATTGGTTTTGTGTTATCGGTGAAACAAAACAGTTTTGTTTGTTGGTTCATCGAAAAATTATTTTAAAAAGTCATGATTATAGCTAATGAACGTTCACGTTCTCTTTCTCTTTCCATTGCGATGATATATTTTCGAGGGCATGGAGGCTGGGTGAGGGCATTTACGTTTTACTATCACTGGGAGATAATATAAATTGAGTCTGTCCATTGTAGACAAATGGTTTTGTTCACCGCTTCTAGGCTCCAGGAGTTGAAGAGATGTGGGAAAGAATAGAATAGATAGGAAAAGATGAGAGACGAAAGAGGTAGACGAGAGAGAGCGAGCGAACGAGCGAGCGAGAGAGAGAGAAATAAAGAGAAAATGATGTTGAACGAGAGTAAAATAAACGAACGCTTTGGATAATTAATGGACAAAAATTGCCATTAATTATGTGCTTGGTTTACATGTGAGTGATTCCCGTACAGTAAATCATCGGTATGCTTGATAGTAGGGCACAACAAGCGGAAGCTTGATTTATGAACGAACAATAAACACACAAATACTTAGATGAAATGAATATGATTCGCAGTTGCGACAAAAATACTTAACACTAGGGCTTATGATTCGCATGTCCGATGGGAATAGTTGGGTTGTTAGTTTGTGCTGTTGTTGATGTTGTTGTTTCTGTTATTGTTGCTGTCATTGTTGTCGTCATTTTTCTCTCTTCTCTGCCACTGCTGCTGCTGCTGTTACTGCTGATGATGACGACGGCGATGTTGGTGTTGGTGTTGGTATCAGGGTTAGTATTGACGTTGGTCATCATCACAGCATCTTTGATTCTCACTCGCTGACGCCTCCGTTTTAGCCACATTGTTCACCTCAGCAATTTCACGCAAGCACCTATAAGAATGTATCTTACATGATTGTGCCTCACCTCTTTTCATTCATTATAATACTTTTTGTTGGCGATGAACCATTTTGCACGATTGTATGATGGTTACCGTGTTGTGTGCGCCGTATCGTTGACATAAAACTCGTGTCGCATGCATTTGTTGCCATTGACATGCCCAGACGATGATGCGTTTGTTGAATATGCTTACAGCACAAATACTGATGGAAATGCTGACGAAATACGCCGGATACACAGTACAAAGCCACGGGATTAACGCACGAATTCAGAAAACTACGGTGTGTTGGCACATAAGACAGGCATCCATCCATCCATCCACACAGCACACACAGGAAGTAATATGATAATCATTGTCACCATTTTTACCGCCATAAATACATCGTCCGTTGAAGTTGTTTCCCATTTCGATTTCGTTTGTGTGTTTGCATGGTTTCGGCCAAACAATCAGACCCACGAAGGTGAATCAGAAAAAATAGAAAGATAAAAAAAAGCAAAAGTCATCATAATTAAAACGCAAATGATTAAGGTAACAAACAAAACTGTGCCCTTTGAATAAGGATCACAGGAGACACACACACACACACACACACACAACGTTTGTGTGCGCAAATGTGTCGATCCATTTATTGACTTGTCTTTGAAATCGCTACTCCATATCACATCACGGTGTGATGGAGAGGAAGAGAGAAAGGAACAGGCACAGACATTTTACAAATTTACTTGACGTTCATTTTGACACGCTCAACAACCAACAATTAATCGCATGACATTCTCAATAGAAAGTGTGACATCCTGTTTCATTTTGCAACTCAACAATATTGGATATTCCAAACGGCAATTTATCATGATTTTAGAAGATAAAAAAACGAATACGTGATATTAATATGAGAATTTCAGAGGCAGTAACAGTAATGTAACATTTCTCGTACTGTCCAGGAAATTCATATGAAACAGTCGTATTTGGTAATTTATGTGGCATAATTTCGTTTAATGTTTCGTTTAAAAAAGAAGTACTTCCTGCGATCCCACTTTTGTTTCCACGCACACAACTTTTGCAATGCCATGCTACGTAGAAATAACGAAACACTTTCCAGTGCGTTTGATCAAGAATCATATTTCTTCAGTTTTTATTGATGCTAGGTCCATTTTCTCTTCGCCCTTCACATCGAACAAAACAACCATCTAACGCGATTTTAATGCAAAGAATAATGATACTCTCATTTATAATCGCCGCATATTAATTGACATTCAATAGACAAATGACGCGAGCTTCATACAATTTTTCACCAAATTAAAATTTCATACAATTGAGAGATAGAAAATGCAGAGCTGACGATTATTGTAGTTTTCAAAAGGTCATTTAAATGCGGCTATTCAAATCTGGGGAGAAAATTACAATTGCAAACGAAATTATCATTCTTTGCGCATTTCTTGAGTATAAAAAACGGATAGACGAGAAATGTGGTTGAAAAAGAAGAAAAAAAATTGGCAAACACCCGGAAAAAAGAGTACTCTTCGACATGACTTTGGGGAGAAATCGAGAAGTCACAGTACTCAACCGTTGCAAATGGAACCATTATTTTTTACTTCGATTATGAAAAAAAAACTGTGTGTCGCTTGAATTTTGTGATGAAATATCTTATTCTTTGTGTGCCAGAAGGAGAAAAGAGTTCCATTAAAATATCTTTGGAAAACCCGGTCGTACCTTTTAACTAAAAAGGTTTTGAGATGAACTTTTCTCGTTAGGACAAAAATAACATGTTAATTAACTCAATTATGGTAACGGAGGTGTTTCGATGATTTTCAATGGAATATGAGCATTGGCTGTGTGGCCTTCGCTTTTGCATAAATAATCAAGAATCGTGTATCAAGTGATGAGGTGCATCATTAAAATTGCATAAAATCCCATAACACATAAAATCAAATTATGTTCGCTATCGATGGAGGAAACTTGTCCCATTCTTTTTTTCTTTTTTGATTGGCCCCAATGGGAGATACAAATTAAATGATGCAAATTTTAAATGCATTTTTCTCTTATAAATTAATTGGTATACTGCTTTGGGTGATGATAGCTTTCATCAACAGAAAATGCAATTATACAAAGAGAAGCGCGATAGTTTTTTGCTTTCTATTTTGAAGACGCGATTGGGAATTGCAATTTTGGATGATGTTGATTGGAGGCGATTTAAAAAACTTCATTTATTTCACACTTCAAATGTCATATTAAACGTACCTTAGGCAAAAGCCGGTCATTCGTGTTATGTGCCAGAAGGTGTCATAATCTTGTTCACTGTTTGGATTCAAGTGGAACCAAAGCATAAACACATGATACGGAAGAAAGCAGATGATAAACACTGAAAATAGAAAACAAATTCAATGCGAAAATCTGGGTGTATGGGACGGCGTTACGTTCTTTGAAGAGAACGTCGAATTGAATCGAGTGAGTGGAAAGCAAGCCTCGATTTCATGTATTACTTTACATTAAAGCCGTCAAATGACTGCTGCTATCGACGTCTCACTGCGACAACGTTAACTACAGTATACACCGTGCACTTCTTCTTCTTCTTCTTCTTAACTTATGCCACTTTTTTCTGTTGTGAGTATGAAGCTTACGTTGTCGCAGTGAGATGTCGCTTCAGCACCATATGGAAAAAGGAATCAAGACTCGGTGGAAAGTAAAGAAAATGACAAACAAAAAACGCGCGCTCGCGCACACACTTACCAATTACAAATGTGACAACCATACGGGCGACATGACGTCTTGCACGAGCTTGGGCTCTCTGTGGCCCAGCCAATTCACCGGGCATCTCACGTGCACTCAAATGCAATCGACGTGCCATCAACGCATACAACACTCCGATTATTGACAATGGCAAGAAATAGTATGCAATCGACTTTGCAACCACGTTATACCTATGTGAATAAGAGAAAAACGATTGAAAGAAAACCACAATGTCAGTGCAAAAAAAGCAATATGGATCTGCCTTAACCGACGTGAAACTTCTCGTCAATTTATCTACCGGTATAAATTGAGTGACGACTTTTGCTGTCCTAGAGTCTCCAATTAAAGTGTAAAATCAAACGCTTGACATAGCCTTTGTCCTTTTGGAAACGTTCACCAAAGGTTATTATGGACCGTTTTCTATCTGACTACTATCAAACATTTCCATCTTGGTTGTATGCCTATGTTTTTGTTTTCATGTGCCTACTTTTGTGAATACTGCATAATTTATGTAAAGGACCAGGTTTTCAACGAGGCGTGAACTGAAAAATGTACTAAATCAGTGTAAATTATTGTCATTATAAATTGATGTAACAGTCTTGCACTCTTTTTCGGCCAAACACTTATCCAAACCTCTATTATATTCAGCCAGAGCTGTGCGGTTTTAAATAAAATAAAATCAAATATATTCGTAGCATTTCATTATTAATATTTCCTGTGAAAAGCTTTCAAATGAGACGCCCACACACCAGTTTTAATTAAAAATGAATTCCCGAAATTGAAAACTTTTCAATTCGATAATGGGATTGAGTTCGCTTCCATTTGATGCACAGAGCGAGTTTTGATTAGGAAGTTTAATTTGACTTGGCCCAACAACGAAACCATCCAAATAATTATCAAAAGCCATACAAGGACCAACATGGACAATAAATGCGGTTGATTTGAGTGTTCTCTTGACATTTTATCGATTTGCTCCTGTTGAGAAGTTAAAATACATTTTAATAGACTGGATATTTGTTTATTTGCGGTAAACATTACGTTGAGCCATGCTGGCCATTTGTCAAATAATTGATAAACAGGGCCACATGCTGGGTTATTTTTAATGTTTTTATTGAAATATGCCTGGTATGGTTGCGATCTGAAGACGCTTTGCATTATCATATATTTCGTAAATTCAAAATTTTGACATAGGTCGGACAGATGCGGAAGCATTTACGGTTTTATCATTCAGCGGATCGATTTGAGCAGACGTGCGCAAGATCGAAAATCCTATACGGGGGTAATTTTATTGCCAGACGGGGGTCCAAATTTCCAAATCCCAAATGGGGATATAACGGAAAGAATCCCGTTTTGCATACGCCCGGGCTTGAGTTTCTGGCATAAAAATGGTGTCAACATTCTTTTTTCCAAACAATTCCAAAACTAGAAATAGCTCTTTTTAGAGACTGAAAAAAAAACTTTTTTAAGGCAAATTGAGTTGATTCCCTTTGTGTTCAATTATATTTGATGTATATAATCAACACAAATGTTGTTAATGTTCGAGTTAAACTTCCCAGTCTACTTTCCATTTAATGTCTCGAATGGAATTTCAACTCGATTATTGAATAGATCTGTCCCAACCACCGAAAACGATTCCTTTCTGGACAATGAAATACGAAAAAGAAATGGCCAATGAATGTGCCCACGAAATTGGTTAAGCGCCAATTGTAAACCATCTACATCATTCATGTCATAAATAGCCGTACGTAAACGTAAAAAGCACTTTATTTGATTGTCGGCACACTTAAAATCGGGACCAACATTTCAAATCAAACACGAAAAGCAACCATACAGTGTCAATACCAATTATACACAGTATAAAAACTACAACTGATTTCTGGACGGAAATACTACTGATTTCTGGACCGACCGATCGACCGACTCGTTTTCGAATTTAATTGATTTTTGCCTATTTTCATGATGTTATGTTGTTTTCTTCTTCTTCGAATTCAATTGGATTTGACTGCGACTGAATTACATTAACATGGACGTGAATTTGGCTCCAAGGGTGACCTTTTTCTGCTTTGAATACGCTGCTCCACCATTCGTGACGCGGAAATAATTTGTACACTTTCTGAACAACGTAACAAAGTAATGAATTATTATGGCAACGAACCAAAATATACATATAAGGCCACATAATACATCATGTTACGTTTACGATTGAAAATTGTGGCCAGATATGGACATCCAATATGCAATGGAGGGCGTCAGCTATCATTTTTTTCAAATAGCTATCCTTGTGTTCAGCTGAATATTCATCAATAAACCAAACTATTTATCAACATTTTCCGTAATGAATGTGTAGTATGAATTCCGTGGTTTTTTGGTATACGTGCAAAAGATGGAAGGAATCCACTAAAATGAAGAATTTCATATGGGTTGGCCAGAGATTACTATTTGGTTAAAATCAAATGTGTGTTTTCTTGCCGTGTACACAAATTGACTAAATACTTAACCAAAGTATTAGAATATCAATGCAGCGAACCAGTGCATTAGAGAGGGATAGAGTGTGAGAGAAAGATATATAAATGTGGAATATGGTTCCATTCAACAAGGTTTCGAATGTTATCACTATATCCTGTATCCATTGGGAAACAGTACGAAATGTCGTATGCAGCAGCCTCGAAAATCAAGTCAAGATACAATCAAAATGCTCAAATAATCAAAAGGGCATTGTTGAAGTCTCCCGGTGTGTTGTGAGGGAAAATGTGGGAAATCTGTACGGAACCATACGGAACGCATACCATGCGAATGTGATAAGTTGTGAATTGGACGATGTAACATGAATGGAAGCGCAAAGCTCAGATCTGTTTTCAGTCGACCAGAGCGCTGTGTGTATGTATTAAATAGAAACAAATAAAAATAAAGTCTTTACAGCGCCATTTATTTGGTGAAAAAAAAATTGAATTTCTTTTTTCTCTCTCTTCTGCGCTTTCGTGCCAACAGTAAACAATGGCATATGGTGTATTGTGGATTGCATGAGCTTTTTCATGAATATTTGAGTGATTTGCAATCGGAAATACACATGAGGATATATTGTGCAATGTGCAGCAGCGCTCGTTGCCATTTTTTGCAAAATGGAAAAGAAGATATTTTCGTATGCCAGGCATGAATAGTAGATGAATGATACCATTGTTTACTGTATCAACGAGAGAAAGAGAACGGGAAACCGTATGCTGACGAATGAATGGTGTGTATTGAATTAGATAAATTTCAAAACTAAACACTCTTATGCAACAATATCGTTGCATGAACGCTGATGCAAACAAGTATGATGGATTACTCCGTCGAACGGATGAGACGAAGAAGAAAAAGAGAGAAAAAAAGAAAACGAACAAACAGCACATCGAATGGAGGAAGCAGAAAAAGTGCCCGGTTTCGAATTCAATGTGTTCTTTCGTGATGAATTGGTGATGTGCTCAATCAAATATAAAGCTTCGATAGCAAATGCTAGTTGAGAAATATTTGTGCAAATGCAAAGAAAACCTAACCCCATTCAAAATACCGTCAGCCGTTTCGAAATTAAATGGTGTGCACATCTCATAGTTTGTTGTGTTTGTTATAAGTTCGAGCATGTGAACACTCAATCAAATCAATCATTTGCACATCAGAATGCTTGCATGAGATGAGGAGGCAAGCCACATCCATTTTCGTCCATTTGCCGCCACTAAAATTAAATTTATGAAAATACGTAATGCCGGAAATATCTCACATTACATTAGGTACATAAGATCTTTGGATGAGCTTGTAGAATACAGCGAGCTGGAGAGAAACCTCAGAAGATATACGAACTGCAAAAGAGAGCAGTGTGTCTGTGAGACCACACATGAGGTGGTGGTAGAGGAATGAAGCTAAATCATTTACACCCATTGTTTACACATATTTCATGTGCTTTTAAATGGTTTCCTTTGTTTCTAACCCCTTCCCTCCTACCCCTCATCCTTTCCCAGATGAAAGTTATGCTTTCGCTGATGTCACAATATATATATTGAAGCACACACACGGGCTAATGCCAACTGCTCCGCTTTTATCTTTATATTAGCATTTGCTCTGTCCTTTTATTGCTCGCATTTTTTCCGTTTCCGTTCTTCTCTCTTTTTCATCTTCGTCATTTTCTATCTTCTTTTCCTTCATCTTTCACCCAGAAATAAAACAAAAAGTGACAGAGACGAAGATATTCTGTGACAAACAAAGCGAAACAGACCACGGCGATGAAGCTACAACAACAAAATAATACGTATTTCCAATATAAACATAAGACGAGCTCTACTGACAAGACGCTGATTTCATAACGAAACAGACCGTGAAGCCGTCATGAGGCATAAGACATTAAAGATGGAAATGGATAAAATATTTTCTCTAAAAAATAACAAAAGTCGCCCGTTCTGTTTGAAGGCTCAATTCATGAATGTGAGAACCGGCGAAGCTGTAACGCCGCGGGCAATAGACAAACGGAAACGGATATTTTCAAAAGTCCCAACCGTTTTTCTTTTTAATAATTGCAACAAGAAAATTCGAAGGGTATTCGATAGCGCACGCAATATTTACCAAACAAAATTTTCAAAAGGATTGAGACAATAGAGCCTATTTCGGATGAATAATCGGTGATGGGTCAAAGTGGCATAGTAACCAAGTTGAACGAATATTTTGAAATGAATCAAATGCATATCAAACTCAAAAGAAAAAAAAAAAGAATTTCGAGAAGAAAATATGATGTAATCTTCGTTGGAACAATTGTAACGAAACAAAGTGAGAAATAATATCCCCCGACCACTCAGAGGTTTTTAAATTGAATGTAAATAAAAAGAATTACATTGTACCGTTGTCCGTCCTTTTGGTTTTTTCTGTGAATCTTCTTGAAATAAAGGCAGTGAAAAATCGGCGAATTATAGTCGAAATTTCGACAATTTTGCATGGAAGGTACCCATAAATCGACTTCGATTGGCTCAAAACTTTCTGAGGTTTAATTTTTTTGGCGAAAAAAAAAGATTTTGAAAGTTTCATGTTGATTGCATTGTCGAAAGTTTGGTTTTTGGTCTACAATTTTCTCCAATGAAATTTCGACAAAAATTGAGGACAAAAAATCGAACTTTTGCAAATTCGATCAACATGTAGCTTTCAGAATCTTAATTTTTCTCCAAAAAATGTTACCTCAGAAAATTTGAATCCAATCGGAATCGATTTACGT